CACACACACACACACAAGTGCGCGCGTACAGTTTAAACACACAAAATAACACACTTAGAATTTACACTGAAGTATGGAAGCCCGTTTCCATATAGTCATTATAACGCGAATCAAAATACTGACTTATTATCTCCAAATAATAACAAACTTTATATATCTTAATATTAATATCTTCTTCATTATTCTGAGAAAGTAGAGATCATTTCTCTTCTCCCAGCCGTCACATTGGCACAAATGGGCTTCCATACTGAACATATTAGATACTGTGAAGAAGAGAAGAGTTTTACTGCATGAAAGGAGAAAAAAACACCAACTATTCTGCTGTAGAGATTATTCTAGAACTATAATCATCGTTTTACAACTTGAACAGCACGGCGTCAGTGCGATCTGTGGGAGCCCAAACTTTGACTTCTTTTGTTATAATTATTATTATTTTTAATGTTTTGTGTAGTCTCTTACCTTAAGCATACACAATTACATCACTGTCAAAGCCAACTAGGCAAAGCAGGAAACTGCCCCACAGTCCAAGAGCCCCAGGGGCCGCAAGAGGGCCTCAGACTAACTGAGCACACAGAAAAACCTCGGGGCCAGGTAGCTTATTCAAGGGTAGGTTTCAGGGTCTCTGCTGAATACTCTCGGCTTAATAGGAACTTGCAACAGGCTACACACTGCACAGAGGGATGTGTGTGTGTGTGTGTGTGTGTGTGTGGTGGTGTGGGGGGTCCGTACAGGGTTACACTAACAGGAATGGTGAACCTGTGGCTTTTAATTTAGCCAAAAAGTAAAGCTTCAGAGTTCAAATGACAAGCTGCTTCCCTCTCTGAGCCACAGGTGACTGGTGTGAATAGCAGTGGTATTAGGAATGACGTGCTGTGTTTGGGGGGCCCCCTGGTGGCCAGAGGGCTCAAACAGAGGCTACACTCTAACGGTACCCTGACCTCTGATAGTTTGGCGCACATAAAAAAAAATGAATGAGGTGACTCCACTTTTTCATGTTGAAGTAGGAAGAAGCAGCGTTTCCCAGGTCTGCTGTATTTATGTCATAATGTTCAATAGAGTATCAGATCAGAAGACTTACAGAGTACCATCATCAGTATCCACACATACCAGCGTCTATTTGTGCTCCAATTTAAATTCATACTGTAGTTCTTTCAGTTTATTGTAGTTTCCTGGGAATCTGACATCTGAAACAGCCAAATAAAGAGAAAACATTTTAAAGAGGTCAAGACTGAGAAATCATCTTTATTTGGATAGATAAGTTCAGACAGTACAAAAGAAAGATGCAAAAAACAGAATTAGTAAGATTACTAAAAACAGTCCAATTCAAGTAAGAAAACAGTCCTTTAAATGCACAAGTGACTGAGGTTATATTTGAGAGTAGCGTGTGCATTTCTCTGCTCAAGTTAAATGCTTGTGGTGTGGACAGGAATATGCAGCCTAAAGGAGCAACGCAAGTCTTTAAAAAAAACAAAAAACAGCCTCCGCTTGGAGAGAAGCTCTTACAGAATATGACTGATAACTGATTATGTGTGACTTCTTTCTACATAGGTGTGATGAAGACGGGAACAAACGTCCATGTCAACTTTTAATACTCAAGTCATTTTTTTTATCCACAGATTTTTAAAAAAGCACCTTTGAGACATGCCTACTTCCTTTTTTTTTGTTGTTTCTTGCGCACATTGTGTGTTTTGTCTTCAATTTTTACGTTCCAAACAGCTTCCCTCAGCCTCAACTCTCTGACCAAGACTTAACTGTTCAAATGCTTGCAGGATTATGGTTAGTATTTAGTACAGCATGCAGAAGGTGGGTGCACAGTTAAAATGTGTCTTCCTCCATACTAACGTCAGACCTGGAAACAGTCACCTGCACCACCACGAGACGGGTCCTTCCCCAGTCAAACTGAAACCTGCTCCAGAGCACAGGTTTCATACAAAGGCTGAATTTGATTATATTTATCTAAAAGTTTTCACTATAGCTCTAAAAACACAAAGTAGAAGTACAGTAGTAGTTTTGCAAATACACAAACTGATTAACTACAAAAAGTCTGAGGTTTTATGGGGGGGGGGTCCTTTGCAGCTGTGACCTTGAGAAAAATATAAGGGCTGATTTAAAGGTTTATACATCAAGACTGAGAAATATACAAGTTAACTCAAAACAGTTCAGCCACACCCAACAGTACAAAGTCTACACAGTGGGACTTATTTGAGGTTTGCATTTGAACTATGTATGTAGATGGAACAGCCGTCAGCGGGCCCTCTCCCTGCCAGCAGCTCCTGAAATCACTGAAATCCTACTGCTTCAGACAGTAGCAGTGCTGCAGCTGCTCACACAGTAGCACGGCGATGTGGAATTAGAGCTTTAACAATGAGTTGATTTCACAACGAGTTGATTGAATTTAATTATTTTTCTGCCAATCAAGCATTTTTGAGCAAAATAAGTGAAAAGAAAAAAAGCGCTCTTAAGTTCCAGCCTCTCCGATGTGAGACTCTGCTGCTGCTGCTCTGTCATAT